TAAGATGGTAGATGGAGCATTTGGCATATATAGAAACTGATGAATTGCCCATTGTTTTCCCAATTTATAATTCAAAGGTTTACAAAAATATGCTTTTTCAGATTGACCAGTTGTCCCCCTTACCATCACATAATCTTTTGTTACAAGTGTTAGGGTTCAGGAACACACATAATAACGGAATGATTATATGAAGGTGCTTTATTGAAGAGCTCTGGGTGTCAGGGGTACACATACCCAAAGCTGACCCATATTAGTTTTGAGCTGAACATGTTTTATACTCTATCATTATATAACTTACATATTAATTATTAAACTTCCATTGTTCTATTGCATGCATTGTTTTTACCCAGGCATGGATTTCTTGTGATCCCCCCAGCCCCCTAACATTGTTCCTCTTGTTCTATAAACAATAATTATTTTGAATCACATCTAACAATTGTATCATTTTTCATATATTGATTACACTGGTGCAGTTTGACATGATCTTTAGCAAGCACAAGGCCTAACATTTCCAGGGCCTACTTTTCCCAGGGCTTGCCAAACCTAACTTTCTTTCCAAGTCCCTGAACTTTCTAAGATTTTAAAACCTTTTACTATCACAGGTATTAGAGCCTTATTCAACACTGAAAATGTTGATCCTGTATCTCTTAGAAATCCCACTTCTTTTTCTTTATTCCCTCGATTGGGAGCTATAACCAGAGGGTCACCTGGGGTAGGGCACTCTGGTCCTCTTCAGTCTTCTTTAACATGAGCAACCTCCCCCTTTCCTTTCCGATCATCTCTCCTCTGTTCATCACTTTTTCCTTCTTCTGGGCACTGATTTTTCCAGTGTCCAAATCTCTTGCAAAATGCACATTGATCCCTTCCCAGTTGGGGTGGTCCTCGTTTTGGTGGACCTTGCTGACATTTTTCTTTCTCCCCCTCCTTCACTACTACCACCAATTTTCTCATCCCCTGTTTATATCCTTCTTCTCGATTGCTAAAGACCCTCCAGGCTTCATCCACCAGGGTTTCCAGATTCTGGCTCTCTGGGACTCCGATCTTCTGGAGCTTCCTCCTGATGTCTTCTGTGGATTGTCCTAAAAACAAATTTATTAGCTGCTTCATTCCTTCACTCCATCCTGGCTCCAGGCTGGTATGTTTTCACATTGCATCGCGCAGTTGATCTAAAAATTCAGGTGTTTGAGAAGGACTTTAATAGCATATAGAGCTGATTAATTTATAGTTCTGGGAATTGCTCTTTCCAACCCTTTTACTGTTAATTCCTGATATCTTTGTAACTGTCTTAGTCCCCCTTGCTCATTGGGATTCCAGCCAGGATCTTGAAGGGGAAATACATCCTTAACATCCTCCTGTGTTGTCCTACAATCATCCTCAGCTAGGTCTTTAGCTACCTTTAATACCAATAGTTTTTCTGTCTCTGTCAGGGCATCAAACAGTGGCTGTAAATCTGCCCAATCTGCTGAATGCTGCTTAAACATAAACCTCAGTTTCTTAGCAACACCTACTGGATCACTCTGATAACTCTTAGCAATCTTATCCCAAACTTCCAAATCCATTGTAGAAATGGACTAATGGACTAATTGACTAATCTTGTTGTTCCCTCAGGGGTCATTGCTTCTCTCAGAGGTGTTTGTATAATCTCTTTAGCCTGCTTTTGGGTCCTGGATGCTACAGGGCTTGGTGGGGGAGACTTAGAAGTTTTGGTACTTGATGAGGAAGGCCCAGGCTCCTCATCCTCACTGTCACTGCTCAGCAATGGTGGTTCTGAGCCTGCTTCCTCTTCCACCTCCCCCCTCTCTCTAACATTCTAAGAGGTGGTCTTAGTAAGTTTGCTGTTTCCCGTTCCAAAACCTCTGTTTGGTATACTTTATCAGGGTGAGGGCATCTTTGATTAATTGAGCATGTTCTACAACACCATTTATGCTTTCCCCCTTTAGCTTTGTTACCTTT